TACAAACAGATTTTAAATTTTATCCTCATGATCGGTCTCGTTATTAATACTTCAGTTTTTTTTTTAAATTTAATTATAAAAATGCATTTCGTTAATTATTTACAGAACTTTATCATATTTTAAATTATATTTAAATAATATGTAATATATAAATCCGACTTATAAATTTTTAAAAACATTTTATTAGTAATAATATTATTTTAAAAAAATGTTCTTTCGCGTGTCAGCTAACACGTGATCAAATTATTGAATTTTTAATATTTTGTTCACATGAGTAAATATAGACGATTAATTTTTAAATAGTTAAAAAGATAAAATTTTGATAACTTCTATGCGCTTCATATTCAATTCACTTTGCTATAAATCAGTATATCGTATCCATTATGAAAATAGAAAATAATGGAAATTGAATTATTCTTTGTTTTATTATATCCAATCAATAACAACAGTTAAATATTTCCTCAATGATACCGAAAAAACTAGATTTCATGCTGAATCTATAACACAGTTTTTATCTGTGATGTTCGTGATAATGCTTTAATAATAAAAAAAATACCATTCATTTGTTAAAATAATTACAAATTTTTTAAAAATAATTTTCCTATAGGATCGAATTTTGGCACCAATTTGGTTTAATTCTACTATTTAATTGATGAATATAGTTTTATTCCGTTTATATCATTTAATCGCGTTAATCATATTTAATTGGCATTTTAGAAAAATTCATTGTTATATAAAATTGTAAATTTCGTATTAATTGACATAAAAAAAAGTCATTGTTACGTCAGTTGTCAATTTCGTTTTTGATTCTAGAAAAAGTCATTGTTACGTCAGTTGTCAATTTCGTTTCTGATTCTAGAAAAAAAATCATTGTTACGTCAATTGTCGTATTAATAATGGAAATATTCATTGTTATAGACATTTTCTGTTTCATGTTATGTAATATAAAAAAAATCATTATTACGTCACTTGTCAGTTTCGTATTTAATTATAGAAAATTTCATTGTTACGTCAAAAAATCAATTGTAGAAATTCTAAAACGTATTTCAACTTAATAAATGATTTTATAGACAATATGAAAATATTTTTCAATGCAAAATATATAAAATAAAATATTAAATTAAAAATTTTATCTTAATACAAGCGAGTATACAAATATATGAGATAAATTTAAATTAATAACGTGATATAATCAGTTTATTCCTTAAGAAACAATCTAATAATCAGCTGTTAGTAGAAACTAAAAAAAAGTACAAGTAGAAAAAAGTAATAGGTTTGTTAGGTCAAAATCGACTTCTTATTTATCTTTAATGATCATCCATTTAATGATCTCTCACCAAAGTTTAAATCCTTATCAGAAACAAGAGTTTTCAGTTATAGAGTTTGCTATATAATCAATGACGACATTACTCGAGATTTTAAGATTTCATACGTCTTGTATGAGTAAAACACTTGAAAAAAAATCGACAAAAAGCTCTATAAAAATTCTTCTTTTTCCCTAAATCCCTGTGGATAAAGTAGAATACGAAATACATAAAAATTACAGTAATAATAGAAAATTCTGTAGAATATTTATGCAAAAAATCTAAAAAAAAAATATAGCTAAGTAATTAGTTTTATTCAGTTATGAAGTCTGTTATTAATTTATAAACTTCAAATAAACGTGGATGATCCATCATCATCATCCACAGATCGTGAATATCTGGGAGGAGGATCGAATCAAACTTGATACTCTATACATTCATTAAGTTAATTTCTACCCATTTATTAAATTTCAACTAAAATTTTGGCTTATTTACCGATCTAAAATGTATTTATTTTAAATTTAATTCGGATTAAATTTAAAATAAATACATTTTAGATCGGTAAATAAGCCAAAATTTTAATTGAAATTTAGGATTAAATTTCGAATCAGTTTACTTTAATCTGGCTCAATTTAATCATTATGATGTTAAATCGCATTATTGCATCCCTTCTAATTCAGTATCATAGAAGAAATTTAGTGTTAATTCCAATTAAATCAATTAACTTTAATTAATTTAGATGCACTGGATCAGATTTAAACAATGTTTTCCAGAAAAAATATACAAATTATAATAAAAAAATCAACATGTGTTTCGTTGCATATACGTCTTTAACATTCATCTACCTTATAATTTTACAGTAATTTCTATATAATTTTGGTAAAAATATAAATTTAAAAGCTTTAACGTCTCTTATTTTAGTTTAAAATTAATTAAATTAAAAAAAATTGAAATTATATACGAAAATAATTTCAGTATCTAAGGTTCTTGACAGAAGTAAAACACAGAAAAGCATTTAAGACAAGTGTCTGGAATGAAAACAGCATTTAAATTGACCTTCTGTAACGTAAACAAGACGATTAGACATGTGTTGCAACCGGACAGAAATCTTTTATCTTTGTAACAGTAGAAGAGTGACATCGATATGTTGTCGACAGACATATCACGCAACCGTTCGACAGATTAAATTCCTTAAATACAAAATTACGCTATATAATATAAAGTATATTTTACTTTTTAATTTGAATATATAGAGGAGTTGACATTGATAAAGTTGTTTATTGATATACTACGCCATTCTTATCACGTATACTTACGTGTCTTTGCATACGAGTGACACATGATTAATAAATTCATGATTTAAATAGCTCGATGGAAGTATTGAAAAATCTGAATGCTTTACTTTTCGTATGAATATTAAGTAAAGTCAGCTTGCTGGGCTGGAAAAAATTATTCTCAAGCGCTTCTAACTGAATTTTATTAAGAATATTAACAACCATCTTCGATTTTCTTTCTTATTTTATTTAAATAATGGCATTTTTTTGTGCTATTTTCTACAAAATATGGGTATTATCGCTAGATTTAATTTACTATCTTTTACAATTTAACTACGTTATAGTTATATTTGTTAAATTTGAAGATTTAACATGCTAATTTAGCTTTTTTTTTCTCATTTTATCCGGTTTAATATAGTATAAACACTTAAAATACAGTCCTATCATATCCATTAAAGATACAGGATAGGACTGTATTTTAAATGTTTATACTATATTAAACAGAAATAAATTAGAAAATAAGCTAAATTTATCTTTAAATTTAACAAATATAATTAAACCATAGTAAAAATTGTAACAGATATCTGAGTTAAAATGAATTAATCAATTAGAAATTTAATTATCCCAATCAAAAATTAGTTGTGTGTGTAAAAAGTTAAAAAAAACATCCGCGTTTAGGCTACACCTTTAATATTTTGATTCAGATTAACGTAAACACCTTTAATCTTTCATATTGTATCAAGATTTAAGGTATTAGATTATATTATTCTGAAGGTATTGCTCTCAAGATAAATGCAATCTAGCGTATTTAATATTTCATAATGAAATTATACATTTCGATCAAGTATCCGGAACACTTAAAGATGAATTAGCTTGATCAAGTTTAATATGAACTAGTATCATTAATATTAGAAAAGATATGAACCATATCTTAATCAATATTAATGATGATAAATATTTTAACTATCATTAAACCTAATAAAGTATCTTAACATCAATTAAAATTCGATGCCAAGTGAATATAATCTAGAATATTTACGGTTGCAACTAAAAATTTTAAATAGAATTTTACTTAATCCCTTGTGTGTTGCTACACTGCACAACTTAAAGCCTTTAAATTGTTCTTAAAAGTAAAAAAAATGCTTAATTTTTCTAAAATTTACCCTTAAAAACATTTTTCCTATTAAGCACGGACTTTATACAAGCAAAAATATTTAATTTCGGTATAAAATGGTACTTCCCATACATTTTCCTCAATCAAAAATATATTTCTACACCCTTTTTATTTCTATATATGAAAAAATAAACACAGGAAATTTATGAGAATCTCCAGTTGCAAATACATTAAATAAATTGTAGATAAAAAATACAAGAGGGTGGTCAACCACTTCAGTATACAACAACAATTGACAAGTATTAAAAGATTAAATTTCCCGGTGTATCTTCTATCGAAAGCACTTTTTACAAAGTTATTCTATCCTCTAACTGAAAGTAGAAAGGAGATCCGGAGATCCGATAGAAAATTCTAAATTCTAACAGCGTGTGACCGGATTTTAACCATTCATGAGAAACCATGCTCATGTCATGTATAAAAAATAAAACGTTTAAGAAATAAATAGAAAAGTAAATAATCTTTTTTCTATCCTTATAAATAATGAATAAAGAATTCTACGCTTTCTAGAAATATAGAATTTTAAGTTTGAATCGAGTGCTTTTATTTATTTCTTTATTTTACAAAATATACCTATTATATCTAATATAAAAAATAGTTTTTTTTAAATCAAAATTAAGAAATAGCACACATAATTTTTATTTTTATTATTTTCTCTAACTTATTTTAAGTTTTAAAAATGATTTTAATGATATGTCGGCCTCTGCGATTTATGTTAGATAGAGTGAAAATAAAAAGCTTTGAAGATTGGTTAAAAGTTTGGTTCTCTCAACGATGATTGGATAAGAAATAAATACATATTTTCTTTCTTGATTGGCGATTTATTTTTTATTTCGATTTTTCATGAACAAATCGTCAAAAAGTTAAGAATATTACAAACAATAAGCGTTAAGACATGTATATTTTCAACCAATCAGCATTTAGATAAGAATATTTTAAATAAAATTATGTTTAAAATGTTACTTTATGTTTTTTTAATGGTCATTTTGATATTTTAAAAAGATTTCTATTAATTTTTAACATCTAAAGTTTATTTACGACTTAAAAATCATAAGTATAAATTTTTTTCTTCCAAATTTTAATCGAATTTACAAGAACACGAACGAGTTAAATATAAAAAATAATGGCACGAAAGGCAACAATTTCTTTAAATCCCTAGCGAAAGATGGAAAATTTATATTATAAAAAATTCTATAAAAATTAAATCGGCTGGTATTTATTAAATATACAATTTTGATAAAGTCTACTCACCGATTTAAGTTCGTGATTTTTACTCTGTTGTATCATGTCGTAGAGAGATAAGGGCATGACGAAATAACCCTGCCAAACACAATCGAGATAAATGTGCATACGTGATGCTCCATCATGTTTGCTACTCGGTGTCACGTGTAACAAAATACTTTTGTGATAACTGTGAAGATTCAGACCCTTAACTGGAAGATGCTGCAATCGAAGACGTCCACTCTCTTTAGTAGCTATAGTAACTGCAAATTTAGATTAAAAAAAATTAAAAAATAATAAAATAAATCGATCAACAATTGGTGAATATAAATTATATTTAAAAAAAATTAAATTACATATTTTTAAGATAAAAATCTATAGCTTAATAGCTATTATTACTTTCAAAAAATGCTTATGTTCGCGTGAAGAGAGGAGATGAAAGAAGGTTGAAAAAATTGTACAGACAGACAAACGTTTCAGTCGATTAACCTATTACACGTTTAAGAAAAAATCCTTTTTTTTTAAGGATCATTCTCAATATATATATATATAGGGAGAGAGGAAGGAAAGAAATAAAGTCAATGGAATTAAGTTTTTATTCCTCTGGTGAAAGTTACTTGATGGAAGCTCATCCATCATTTTTTGACATTAAAACGTTTGAAGTGAAGAAGATTTTATCCATTTTATTTAAAGAAGATTTTTATCTATCAAGGGATGTCTTAGTATCATTTCTGTTGCATCCTCTTACACAAAATTCCTTAATAATTATAAACAGGTGAGTGAGTGACGTGATTGAAATAAAAAAAATAATAAATCCTGTAAAAGATAGAAATTTCGAGAGAAGAAAAATTAAATTAATTAATTTTCTTTATAACTAATTATATTTGACTATTGTACTTCATTAAATTTAAATATGATCTTCAAAAGAAAAAATGTTAATTACAATTTACTAAAAAATAAAATCAGTTTGTGAAAAGTAATAAATGTTTATTACTTAACAATTACGTTTTATTATTATTATTTTTTTAATTGAGGTTTTATATAACAAGCAGACATTCGAACGAACGTCTTAAAATTATTCGAATGGCTGTTTTTTTACGTTAAAATACTCAAACGACACGATAAAAAAATTTTAAAAATTACGCAATTTTTTTTTTATATTTTAGGCTACAAAATCGTCATAAAAAATACTTTATTAGTTTAAAAAAATTGAAATAAAAATAAAATAAAAATTAGGTACGATTTTTATTATTTTTATGCTTTTGTTCTAACGGATTTCTAGGATTTTCTTCGAAATTACATTTTCAAAATTCCTCACAAAAATATTTCCAAAAAATGATATTGACACTTTTGAAACAAAAGAAAATTCCTTTCTTACTTTCTCTTCGACTTTTATGTCTAGAAAACAGAATTGAGGATTGTATATCCACTTTTGCCTCTTATAAGGATGGGGGATCAAAATTTCTTATATTGAGAACACATTTTTTTTAAGAAAAATTCACTCTTTTCTACACTCTTTTAGTGCTGTTAGCTAGGAAAATATATTGGCGATTAGTTACTGCTCTCGATATAACGTTACTGCTTCCTCGTATTTATCAAAAATAAGAGACAAACAGAAATGATCCAGGATAAAATATAAGTCCATTTTAACGCCGGTGTTTCAGATTAGAGACGATAACTGATTTTTCTTTTTGTTGTTTCCTACAAAAATGGTTGTAATATTTTCAGAGAAGAATGATATACTTTATCAACTTCTCTTCTCTCAATTTTCATATTTACCTCTTTGAATAAATTAATTTTCGATTTTAGAATGTTAGAAATACAGTTATTCGACTTTTAAACTTAAAAATTATTTATAAATTTCACAAAAGTATAGTTTAAACAAAGGAATTTTGATGAAACATCTTCGTGTGTTGCTATGGTAAATTTCTATAGAATTCACTTTCAATATTTGTATTTGTTTCCACGAATACATTTTAAGACTTTTTATAAATTTTTTTTTATTTTTTTTAAATGTATTTTTAATTTAAATAAATTTTCTTTAGAGAAGTTGTTAAATCTCGGTACTTGACCATTTTCACTAATAAGATTGCTTTTAATCTTCTTATAATTTTGTATTAAGATTTATTTATCTTACACAGTTTTTCATCTAGAAATGTAAATTTAACATTTATTTATTCAAAAAGTGCTTAAAATAAAAGATTTTTTACAGTTTTTTATTTTTATTTTTCTATTGAGTTCACCGGTAATCCATCAATCGAATATAGAAATAATGAAATAAAAATTAAATTTTATTTGTATATAATTATTAAATGTATAAAGATAAACATTGACTGCCATTTTAACATCTAAAAAATAAAATTTAAATGGTGCCAAAACACAAACTTAATCATTATAATCCTAATTCAAAACATTCATTGTAACTCATTATCATTAATTTCCATATCTATACTCTTTAAAGTTTGCTAAATATTTATGAGGTCTTTAAAACTTTTGTTTCTTCTCACTTGATTGGAATTTTTAAAAAGAAGAAAAAATTAGAAAATATTTTTAATGTTAAAGTACTTATTTTGACATCAGGTGAGCATATGGAACAATTATTATAATGACTTCCTTCATTTTGTTGAATTATTAAACAATGCTTTAGGCTCATTATATTAATTTTTCAAGTATTTCTTGAATTTTCAATGATAAAAAACTGGAATTTTTTGACTTTGATGTGTGATCTAATTTAACAAAAATTTCATTTTAAAAATTAATCTTTGCAGTGTCTTAAATTTAGCTAAAGGCACGTGTTTGTGCGTAAACTATGTTGCACGTGTTCTTTGTTTTTTTTTGTAGGATAGAGAAGATGCACGTGTTTATGTACAGTAAAGATGAGGAAACTTGTAAACACAAAGTAATGAAACACGTGATTTCTATGACTCACGTAAAACACGTGCGATTTTGTATGACAGTTAAATTATGTATTTACTGTAGGATAAAGAAGAGGTGCATATTTTTGTGACATAGAGATGAGGCACGTGTTTCTTTAGGCTAAAAATAAACAAAAAAAAGCTATTTTCATAGGTAAAAATTTAATAAAATAAGAATAAAAAACTCATTTTTTCTTTTCTAATTCATTTTTAATAGGTAGAACTATTTTTAAATTAAAATTTCTTTTAAAAATATAAATGCATGGCTGTAAATGTATGCAATTTTTATTTATTCAACATTATTTAATTATTTTCTGCTCTTAATTATAATAAAAAAAGGGAAAAGTGTTATTCGTATCTTGATAAGTTATGTACAAAATTTATATAGACTATATTTATTTAATTAAATAAATTAATTCATATAGAAAATATTCTGTTAACAATTGATATTGTGCTTCAATATTTTATTTATAGAAAATTGTGAAGAAGGAAAAGTGACAAGAAAGTGACGTGTAAATATAATAGAAAGAGAAAGTGTAAAGGTTATAATCACTGAAATTGTTTCGTAAATTTAATATGAAATCTAACTTTTTTTACGAGTGACGAGGAAATAACAATCCTTAATTTATATTATGAATATGTCAAGTAAGCGATCATATACATCATTTACAAGATCTTCAATTTTTGTATTTTTCCTTTAAATATTCTCGTGTAACCTTCGTGAGTAAACATGTCTGTATAATCTTCAAAAGGGAATATTTCTGCATTACTCCCACGAGAAAACACTTTTTACACAATCCCAAAAAACATTTTCTATAAAGGAACGTTTAGAAAGGGGACATTTGCGTATAGTCCTCATGAGGATGCAGCTTTATATAGATCTCAGGAGAAAACATCTTTGTATAAATATAATACTTAAAAAAAAATTTTCATGTGTTTCTAATGGTTACAACAACTTTCAAGGGTTATGTTTTGGTATTTCGTTTCAATTCTTAACAAGAGACATTACACTCCTGGAAAAAAAAAACATTTATGCATTTTTGAAGATAGTGTTTGACATTTTCTTATAATTTTCAACGAGAAACATTGCTGTTCAGGAAAGAAAATGTCTATTAAGTCATACATTCTTCAGAAGTGGGCATACAGTTTCCAGGGTAAACCATTTTTGCATACAGTAGCAAAGTAGTATGTATCTTCAAGCAGGAACAGACATTTTTATATTTATATATCCTGAAAAAGGAGCATTTTTATAAGCTTTCAAGAAAGATTTTTGTGTATATTTTCCTAAATCTTCAAATTCCCTTGTTAGTTTGTATGTCTCCAGAATGCCAGTTTCATTACATAATACCGAAAACAATTTTCTTGTGCAGTATGAAGTAACAGATAAAAAAAGAAAGAAAGAAGGAGACAATGTTCGAAGTTCTTTCCTTCTTATAAGAGAAACACGTGTTTCGCACGTGATATTCGACTTTAGCTGACAAGTCATTGGTTCGTCGTTGTCATGGCAAAGTAACAACTAAAGTTGCAACAGCTGTTTCGGTAACGATTGCCATCAAAAGGAGACATTTCTCAAGGAAAATGTCATGAGGAATACATGGTTGGATGGAATTGGCAAAAAGAATGTTACAAATTCGCAGTGTTTATCAATTGCTATTTTATAAAATTTCTTTTTAACTTTTTTTCGATACTTTATATTTTATTTTAATTAAAAAAGTCTGTAGTTTAGTGCTAATAAAACAATTGTAAAAATTAATTTTTTTTTATTTTTTAAGAGAGATTAAATTATTTTTGTTTTCTAGAATTTTTTTTCCAAATGTTTTACTAAAATTTTTTGACAATTTTAATAGCCATTTTCTTTATTAAAAATCTGAATAAAAATACAAATTGTTATAATTAATATTTTAAAAAAAATAATAAAAAAACATACTCTAAAATAATACTATATTATAATTGAAAAACTTAATATTAAAATTTATTATAGTTTTACGTTATCCACGTAATATTTAATCCTGTAAAAAATTAATTTTAAAAAAATGTAAATTTTTTCTTATTAAAAAAACACAAAATAAAAATTGACATATTTTTGTGGCGTTTTCTTTATTTACAATGAAATATACAATTTTAAATTGTAGATTTCATTCTAAATAAAAAAAACACAAAAATTGTCGAATTCATTACATTGAAATCTACCATTTTTTAAATAAAATTAATTACATTATTAAAAATGAAACGTATTTAACATTTTAATTGCGTTTTATAACGTAATTAACAAAGAATACACGTAATTAAATCCCACAAAAAATGATAAATTCCTTTTTTTTTGAACGTAAATCTACTTTTTTAAACAC